GTTTTAGAAAGAGTCTGTTCTTTAAAGGGTGCAGCTGGCATTTAATGCTCTTTGAACAACAAAGCAATCCAAAGTGGGTTTACTGGGGTGTAGTTGATGGGGTATATCCCCAGGCAACTGTTGCCAAGATTGCACTAAAAAGTGTTGAAAATATTTATGGATTGGTGACTGTCTGGTAGAAGTTTCGTTCCAAAGGGTCAGTGATCTAATCTTTCAAGTACCTTTTTAAATTGATTATTTCAATGAATTTGTCATCATCTGGTTAAAACTGGATTATTATTTTTTTAAAAAAATGTTTTAAAGGAACTTCTGATTTCTCACTTGAGGTGCCAAACAGCTTTGTGTTCTGAGTTTTGCTTTCTTATTTAGACTTGCATTTGGGCCTCCCGAACACCGCAGTTCACACCCCATCCATTTAATTGTATTTCTGTTAAAGACACTTGACTTGGCCTAACAAAATGTATGCCAGTATGAGCTTTGATAAGTCAGCACTTCATCAGATGCAGAGAGTGTATCAGAGGCTTTCTGGGCATGGAGCCGCTAAACTTATACTTAACAGTTTTTTTAAAAGTCTTTGAAAAATGTCTTTAAATTTACACCTAGCAGCTTTGGATGGACTTTCCAATGCATCTGAGGAGGTGAGCTCTAACTCGCAAAAGCTGACGCTCAGATAAATTTTGTTAGCCCGGGAGGTGCTACTGGACACCTGTTCAGTTTTGCTGCGACTGATTTAAACCAGCTATTCTGGAATTCAGAGGCACTCTGAAGTGGAGCGTGATTTTAGCCTGAGAACAAATATTTGTAATCCCACAAAACAGTTATGGTCATTGCTTTCATAAGGCACACACCCTGCAAAGAACAGGGTATTATTTGGGGTGCCCCAAGGCTGACTTTGGGGTACAGAGGTGGGTCACTAATTTGCAAGGCGGCTTGTACCCAGCAGGGGAACGAGTCCAGGGCGGCTGTTTGGTCTGAGCCTTAAACTCAGAGGGGGCTTCAAGTTTAGACACTTGTTAATTTGAGGGGCATTTGATAAGTTTTGCCCTTTATTTTTATGTCCATCGTCTGCTGTCATTTTAGCGTACATATTTTTTTCTGCTAGCCATGGGGTGGGGCAATGAAGCTTCCCCCCCCCCCCCGGCCATTTGGGATCCTTCTGAACCATCACCAGGTGTTGCCATCATGCTTTGACCATTTTGTCTTTGAAGGTACAAGAGTTGGAAACATTTTCTTCTCCCCCCCCCATAAAAATGTGAGATTCACAGAACGTTGAATTCTGTTGCCACGGCCATCTTCTAACACTGAGACCAGACATGCTGGTCAGTTACCCT